TTCCTACCATGGCCACAGACAAACTGACGTGCAGGCACACTCAGCATGCACTTCCCCTCAGCCTTCCCAGTCTGCTTTGTGCCTAGGGGCTTCCCCTCCCCATGGTCCCGTCACCAAGCTCCCTGGACCTCTGGCTTCCCATGGGTGTGGCCAATGGGAGGCACTGACAGGAGATAAGACTGGGGAAAAAGACAGGCTGAGTATTTCCCTTCCTTGTGCTCCTCTCTGTCAGTATCTTTTGCCCTCTGAAACTTGAGCTGCCCCTGACGGCCTCCACTCCAAAATTCCAGCTGGAATTCTACTGGCTCCAGTGACTCAATTTCCTTTCTGTTCCTTTGGTCCTAAAGCTGGAGATGGCCTCTGAGTCTTGTGAATCCCTGGTATATCACCATCCTTTTGGGCTATATTGACCCCGTTTTTATGTCTCTTATATTAAAGTCTTCACCTTTGAACCACTTCAAAGGGAAGGGACTCCTGTTTCCTACTTTGGACCCTGAATAATCTGCTCATCAAGTCCTCCCTTCCTCCAGAGGATGAGATGTCCCACCACTCCCACAGGGCAAGAGTCACCCATGCTCTTGACCTGTCTCCTTCCTGCATTGATTTCCCTACTCTGCTCTGCTCCCTGGCCCTAAACACACTCCTAACTCTTCCATCCCCTGCTTTGGACTCTCTGCTGTACTGCTGGCTATTGGCCTATGCCCTACCTTTCAGTTCCTTCCATCTTCTGGAAAGTATGATCTTTTCATTCATTTCTTATCTCATTCAGCTCGCACTGTCCTGCTACCTTAGTGGAAGCCCCTCCATCCCCATTGCTAAGACGTCCAGCAATGGCCGACCAACACCTACCGAGGATGGGGCTCAGCAGGTACCTTCTACAGGCTGTGTGAATCGAAGTGATGCTGGAGTAAGACTGCTCTGTCAGTTCCTCATTGTATTAGTCTGTTCTCATGCTGCTATAAAGAAATACCTGAGACTGAGTAATTTATAAAGAAAAGAGGTTTAATTGGCTCACAATTCTGCAGGCTGTTCAGGAAGCATGGCTGGGGAGTCCTCAGGAAACTTACAGTCGTGGTGGAAGGTGAAGGGGAAGCAGGTATATCCATGTGGCAGGGGCAGGATGAAGAGAGAGCAAAGTGGGGAGGTGCTGCACACTCTTAAACAACCAGATCTGGTGAGGATCCTATTACAAGACAGCACTGGGGGATAGCTAAACCATTGGAAACTGACCCCATGATCCGTCACCTCCTGTTAGGTTCTACCTCCAACACTGGGGATTACAATTCAACCTGAGATTTAGGCAGAGACACACATCTAAACCATATCACTCACCCAGTGTGGCTCTGGCACATTTTGTGACTCTCTGACCCTCGGTTTCTTATCATCCAAAATAGGCTGTAAATCACTTATCTGTATCTATCAGAACAGGTGTGCTTTCGTGCCTAGGGACACTCAGTCAAGGTGGTTATGACTGTCATCACTGTACTTGTTAACTATCACTGTTTTTTTCTTGAAAGTCTCTTCCATCGCATCCATCAAACCAGGGGTAGCAGGAGTCTCACATGGTGTGAACAGAAGCAATAAAGACAGTGAGAGGGGAGTCGCCACATTCTTTTATACAAGCAAATCTCATGTATCCTCCAAATTCTGACCATTTTTTCTTAGCTCCCATCTGGAAAGTCTGGCGTTTCCAAGTTTCCACTTACAGCTCTGACTGTTCTTTAGCACTGGCCATCGCGACACGGAAGATCCTCAACTCTCACACACATTCAAAGCCCAGCCCTCATGTTTCCCCATGACCCGCCTGTGCTCTTCATCCTCATGGCTAACACTCAACTCAGCCCAATGGTCCAAGTTAGAAACATGGGGCTTTGCTTGGCATTCCTCTCCTTGGAAGAGGCTGGGCTTTGGGGTGCAGGGGCAAGCAGCCTTCACGTCAACTTTTTCTTGGGGGCTCAGCTGCAGGGTGCCACCTGCTGGAGCCTGTTTCTTCCTGGGCAGCTCACACTAAGGAGGTGAATGGAGGAGAGGGTGAGGGGGTGCGTGAGAGTGAATGAGGGGCCCTGCAGGCCAGGGGACACTCTCTGTGGATGGCACTCTTTGTCCAGATCTCTCAGCAGGACCGAGGTGTGTGGGACCTGGATCATAGCCCGTTTCTGCCTCTGCTCCACCTGCAGCCTGCCCTGCTTTCCATGGAGCTTGATCCCTAATAAGCATCTTGCACCCCAAACTCTGTGTCAGCTTCTGGCTGCAGACAGCCTACCTAGCCTCACTCTCTCTCACACTTCCTCATCACGGAGACAGATCCTTTACTGTCCCAGCTGTCTTGAATCTGTCCCTCTCTTTCCAGCTCCACTGCTCTTGCTTTTATTCAAGCCCTCATTCTTTTTAACTTGTCTTGTTATCTCCCACTCCTTTCAACTTCCCAGAGCCATCCCAAGTCACTATCAAAGTGGTCTCCATAAAGGCAAACCTGACTGGGTGACCCCTGTTCAAGCCCCTATGTCCATCTGTTCTTGCATTGCTATGAAGAAATGCCAGAGGCTATTTTTTTTTGAGATGGAGTTTCACTCTTGTTACCCAGGCTGGAGTGCAATGGCACGATCTCGGCTCACCGCAACCTCTGCCTCCTGGGTTCAGGCAATTTTCCTGCCTCAGCCTCCTGAATAGGTGGGATTACAGGCACGTGCCACCATGCCCAGCTAATTTTTTGTATTTTTAGTAGAGACGGGGTTTCACCATGTTGACCAGGATGGTCTCCATCTCTTGACCTCGTGATCCACACGCCTCGGCCTCCCAAAGTGCTGGGATTACAGGCTTGAGCCACTGTGCCTGGCCAGACGCTAATTTATAAAGAAAACAGGTTTAATTGGCTCGTGGCTCTGCAGGCTGTACAAGAAATATGGTGCTGGCATCTGCTTGGCTTCCGGTTAGGGCCTCAATTGTGGCAGGAGGTGAAGGGGGAGCAGGAGTCTCACCTGGTGTGAACAGAAGCAATAAAGACAGTGAGAGGGGAGTCGCCACATTCTTTTATACAAGCAAATCTCATGTAAGCTCCAAGAGAGAACTCACTCATCACCAAGGGAATGGTGTTGATCCACTCATGAGAGATCCACCCACCCCATAATTCAATCATCTCCTATCAGGCCCCAACTCCAACACCAAGGGTCACATTTCAACATGAGATGTGGAGGGGACACACATCTAAACCACGTCACCCCTCTAAGCCTCTTTGAGTGTCCAGCCTCCTGACCTCCTCCTCCAGCCCAACCAACCTACCAGGGATTCTGGGAGACTTTTGGCTGCTCAGGCCTGGGACCCTTACCCACACAGTCTCCTCCTGTGAAGTCCACCTGGAGGAGTCCCTCGGAGGTCAGGGGTCACCTCTGCATCCTCAGGTTGATCTTGCTCCTTCGGTCAGTTTTTGTATCTTACACATATTTAAAAATTCACATAGCCTCAACTAGGTTATAACATTAATTTCAGATTTTCTGTCTTCCAGAAGGCAAAACCACCTTCCCCAGGGCCCAGCTCATGGCACATTCTCAGAAATTTGTGGATTCTCCCTTGGAGCCTCTAGAGCAGGCGTCCCCAAACTACAGCCCGCGGGCCGCATGCAGCCCCCTGAGGCCATTTATCTGGCCCCCCCGCCGCACTCCAGGAAGGGGTACCTCTTTCATTGGTGGTCAGTGAGAGGAGCACAGTATGTGGCTGCCCTCCAACGGTCTGAGGGACAGTGAACTGGCCCCCTGTGTAAAAAGTTTGGGGATGCCTGCTCTAGAGGAACCAGCTCTGTCCACCCCCTTGCTGGATCCCAGCATGACCCATTTGGACTTCTTACCGACAAACTGGAAGATAATAAATTGTGTTATTTTAAGCCATTGATTTTGTGGTAATCTGTTATGGCAGCCATAGAAAGCAAATACGTTTTTGAGCACTGATTTAAAAAAGAAAAACCACAACAGGAGGGAAAAGCTCTCACTGTAAATGACTGCGTAGCTTTGGTGAATCTCAAGGCTGACTTGAAAATGGAGTTTTTTTTTCCTGCTTCCTTCCGTGTTGTCAGAAAGCTATCCAGCAAGCCAGCATCAGAAAATGTCATTTACATTTAGCGTTTTCTGTGCCAGCCATCTCCTGTCATCTGTCTTTATGTTGATCAAGCAGATATGTGGGCTTTCTAGTACAGGGTCTAAAATAAACACAAACAGCTCCCAGAAAGGGCAAAGGACTTTCTCATGCGGAGTGTGTGTGAGTTTCTGTGTGGGGAGCACAGCCTCCTTCTGATGCTGAGAGGCCTTCGGGTTTTTCTTTTTCCACCTTTCTGCTACGTTCCCAAACATTGATACTATTTTCCAGGTAAGCGAGGTTTTACCGTACTATTGTGTTCCTGGAATATTAATTTCCCTCTCCGATTATATATCTTTTCACATATAGTACATTTATATTGCTATTTATGTTTTAAAATGGCCAATTTCCCTCCACTGGCCTCATAATTAAAGAAATGAAAGTCTCCTGTTGGCTAAAGGGTTAAGAGCGTAGCTTCGGATTTTTTTTTCCTCCCTGGAGCCTCAGAACGTGCACAGGTGTTCTACATGCCTTTCACAAAAACGAATCAAGGGCTAGGAACCCAGGTTTTGAACGTGCATTCAATGTGCATTCATAATAAAAGCTGAACGAGTGGTACATTCATGGTTGCTCCTTGATGTAAATGAACGGCTGAATGAAAAGTTTAGGGGCACAGCTCACCTCCAAGAGAGAGACCCTTTTCACACTCAGACCTGACTAAGGGATCTCGAATTCCCTTGTAAAACTAGCTTTTCCTCTCCATAGCAGCTGGCCTCTTCCTCCCGGTATCTTTGTAATCCGCTGGGTGGTTTTTTCTTTTTCTTTTTTTTCCCCCACACTGCCGTTGGATAAAAGATCCCGCCTTTGATTGAAATGGAATCTTCCACTATTGAGCAAGCCTTTGTTGAATGAGTCATCGGGGCGGCCGCTCATTGGCTGAGGCCGCTGGAGCCCAGGGGATTGCCTGGCATCGGCTGCAAGGCCCTGCTTCATTCACAGAAACGCTGGCTCGCTCGCTAGCCTTTTCATTCACACAAACAGCATTTCATTCACATTTTGCTGTTTTTGTCTGCATCTAATGAAGATCTCGCTTTGGGAATGATAGGGCTGTTTCGCTTCAGATCTGGGGAGGACTCTGATAACCATCAAAATCTTCTATGGGGTGTGCAATTGCTGTTGCTATGCAAGCCAGGGGAAGGGAACAAATGAGTGCCGTGTGGCTGTTCTGCTAGGGCTGCGGCACAGGAGGCGAGCCGTGGGGACGCGCTTCCTGTGCCGGGGACGCCGCGGCTCCTCTGCGCTCCTGCGTCCTAGTGGTTGGCTTCATCCGCTCGCCCGCCATGAGCGGTGCTCACTAAACGCTGCTCCGTAGAGCAGGGTTCAAGACTGGGGACCTCACGTGCCCCACATGTTCGGTCATGGGCGTGAGAGGACTCAGGGTGACCTGAGAGTGCGCTAGAGGTGAATTTATTCTCTTTCTCGGAAGTTGCGGGGAAACTTTGATAGTGAGTGTTTCATTGTGGAGCAGGTGATCTTAATGCGTGAGGAAGCCTGGCAGAGCCCACTGAGGTCAAGAGTCAGCTTCAGTCTCGGGCAGACCTTTGGGGACGGCGAAAGCCTTGCTCTCCTAACTGAGAGGAAGAAGGCCTGTGCATTTTACTTGCAAGCCCGAGCCTGACTCCTGAAAAGAAGGCATATTTCCCCCTCTGTGGATTTCATGTGCAATGAGAACAGCTGCATTTTTTCCTTCCTGACTGCAGGGTTGCAAGCAGCAACCGAAGGAACACTGAAATGTATTTGCAGCATCTCTTAGGCGTTTTTCCAGACCTTAAACACATTCAGTAGGGATAAAGCTTCAAATGCAGCCCCCTTTTTGGAATGGATTTCTGGAGCCGGTAGCCACTCGTCAAAGCATCACTCTTCTTTTTTGGAAGTGGATATTCAACTTAACCCTGGCTGAGAAAGACTGCTGTAAATTAGCAGGGAAGACCCCTTGATTGGCACTGTGCAGAAGTTCATATGCAGATTTTGTTGTTTTGAGGAACTGCATTGCCACAAAGACACTTGTCATCGCTGCTCTGTTCATTTGAAAAGAAAAAGAAAAACCCAGGAAACTGGTATTTTATGTTCACCTGGGGGTGAATATCCTTTTTGTTTTTTCTATTTAAAAATTCTTGCTGCCTTCCAAGTCAGGATTCATCAGGATTCGCTGAAGATCTGATTCTTAAAAAGCCTTCGTCACATTTTAACGCATCGCTGTTAGACACTTTTACAGGCTCACACAGATGGGCTGAGCAGGGACGAGCAAAACCTAACAGAATAATGGGTTTCAGAAAGTTCATTTGACGATTAGAAGGAACTGGATTGGATTTACCTTTGGCACAAATGCAGAGTGCGGGGGATGGGAAGGTGAAAAATCAAAGGTTGGAAGGAAATCTCTGGGAAGGTAGAAAAAGGAAATTTGAGAATTGATTGGCTCTAGTGTGCTGTCAGCGGGTGGATGTCGTTTTTTCTTCTTTTTTTCCTTTTTTTTTTTTTTTTCCTGCTACAGGAAGTGATTTGCAGTGCTCACCGAGCCTTTGTTGAGAAGGGTCTCCTCTCAGAGTGAGTCATGCTTTTGCTGTGAGCAGCCCCAAGCAGCTGGGCGCTCCATCAGAGGCAACTATGACTTTTGCAAAGCAAACGTGCAACCCCAAGCAGCGGTCTCCCGGGCCGGGGCTGCGCGGCCGCTGCTGTGCTGGTTTTTAATGGTGGGAGGGCACCATCCTCGTGCTCTGCTCTCCCTCTCTAGAAGGCTGTCCCGGGGCCCCCACTCTCCGTCCCGCTCCGGGGACAGTGGCTCGCCTGATATGCGCGGCAGCCCGCGCCGGGGCCGGCACCAGCAGCGCCCGGGCGGATGCAGCGAGCCCACGGAGGGGCATGCTTCCACGCACCAAGTACAACCGCTTCAGGAATGACTCGGTGACATCGGTCGATGACCTTCTCCACAGTCTGTCGGTGAGCGGCGGCGGAGGCAAGGTCTCGGCGGCGCGCGCGACCCCGGCGGCGGCTCCCTACTTGGTGTCCGGCGAGGCGCTGCGCAAGGCGCCCGACGATGGGCCCGGCAGCCTGGGCCACCTGCTCCACAAGGTGTCCCACCTGAAACTCTCCAGCTCCGGCCTCCGCGGCCTGTCGTCGGCCGCCCGGGAGCGGGCGGGCGCGCGGCTCTCCGGCAGCTGCAGCGCGCCCAGCCTGGCCGCCCCGGACGGCAGCGCGCCCCCGGCGCCCCGCGCCCAGGCCATGAACGCCGCCAGGAAAGGCCGGCCAGGCGACGAGCCGCTGCCCAGGCCCCCTCGGGGGGCGCCGCACGCCAGCGACCAGGTGCTGGGGCCCGGAGTCACCTACGTGGTCAAGGTGGGTGCTGGCGCGGGCCGCCCTGCGGGTCGGGGGTCCCCAGGCCTGGGTGGAGGCCAGTTCGGGGCAGACCCCTTCCTTCTCTGAAGCCCGGGGTGCTGGGCGCACCCGCGACTGTCACGTTAGAGGCAAGAAAATGCGCACTCCTTAGTAATCAGCTAGCTTGACAGCGGTGAGGAGGGAACTACAAATGCGCTTTTCTCGCATCCTTTGGGAAAAGGTTTACCACTCGGGTGACCCGCTCCGTCCCGATTTTCCCTGGGCTCCACTTTTTTGGCACGCCTTTGCCACCTGGCTTACCAGATGTCCAGCCAGTGTCGTGGGCGCCCAGTCCTGGACAGCGGGGGTCCGGCCTGCCTAGTATCTAGGAAACGCGCTGGGGAGACCTGGGCAGCCCCGGGGAGGAGAGAGCACGGAGTGGCCCTACTCCTGCTGTGTCTTCCCCGGCGGGAGGGTGGGCATCTTCTTCCCCCCGCAGCAAGAATTGCCAGCTCCTTGCAGAGCAGGCCAAATGCTGTGTTGCTTTCTCTTCGACGGGCTCTACTTTCTCACCCAGGCCAGGTTTTCTTTGGGTTTGTCTTTCATTCCTTAAGGAAAGGTTCTGGTTTACAGCAGCGAAACAAGAATTCTGGGACTACTTTTCTGGTGACTGTAGCCTTCCATTTAAATGTGCTAAAAAGGAACGAGGGCGCTGAGCTAGGAGCCACAGGCTGGAAAGGAGTTTTTTTCCTCCAACACAAAGATGATAAAATCACGATGCAGTCCATAAAATTCCATCCTTATGCAAGCGTGCTATGATATTTAAGGAAAAATTCTCAGCACAGTTCAAGTAATCTGCCACGCGGTTATTTCCTTCTGTCCGTTGGGCAGCCCCGAGCTTTACCAGCCTCCACAGCCGAGCAGACATCCCCTGCACAAGGGGTTAAGGTTGGAAGTTGCAGTATTACAATCCTGCCACTCCAAGGCATGGCTTTGTATTGAAAAAGAAATGAGGCACAAACTCTATCCCCTCGGTGTCCTCAATAACACTGAGAAACCCGCAGAATGTCTATTCCGTAAATGCTGCAGATTGCAGTTTAAAAATCCAACAGAACATATCCTCAGATAAAACGCAATATCTGGTAATTTTGAAGCCAAAACATTAACAGAAATACTTAAGTTTATGGGTTGCCTTTAACTATGTGAAAAGTACTTACAGACGAATGTGACCATTGGTCTTAGAAGAGGGCCTCTTCACCTTTTCAGTCTGCCTTTTAATTTAATCTTGATTTTAACTTCTAAGTATAATTATTTTATTTTACCAAAGGGATATAAATGAGCATAAAATATACATATTTGGTTGAGTTTATTTTAAGAGAAACTGAAGATTCTTCTTGTTTTGATTATTTAAATTATGTAACCCGGGGCCCAAAACCAAAAAGAAAAAAACCAAAGCAAGCGAGCAAACAAACAAAAACCCCTGATAGCTTCGAGGTTGTGTTGACTTCTAGACTGTGAGTATAATTGCTGTTTTAAAAAGATTACATTTCAAATAGACAAATAGAGCTTGGCAAAGCTTTTTGTACCTGTCATATTAAACAGAGTAGTTTTCAAATTGAGGGAGAATTCTCAAACTTGCCTTTAAATTTTTGCTTTAATCACTTTGCTTAGAGCTCTGCTTTGACTTTGTAAAGAAAGAAGGCAGGCATCCAGTTTGAAAGGTCAAGAGTGGCAAAATCATGATGAATGTACTAAAATAAGACAGCTCTCCACCGACAATCTGTTGCTGTAAGTTTGTGACTTAACGGCAGCATCAGCAGCAGTATTCATAGTCAAAGGGCTGGATCTGCAGAGAGCTTATCTGTGTCTTGGGATCACTTTGTGTTGTCATATTTAAGGGGTTGCAGTCATGGATGGTGGTGCATGGCGTGATTAATTAGGGCTCTGTACCGTCCTGGTTTGCTTCGTTGTTCACTGGCCGCTGTGAATGGTGGTGTGACGTGAACATAAACTCAGTCAGTGTCCTTCACTTTTCTGAAGAAGTTTGAAATCCTGCAGAGAGAAAACCAGACACTAAAGGACCGTTTCTTATGTGCATGTTTGATTCAAATGATCACATGGCCCTCTGTTGGTGCACATGTGCAAATTCCCACATTGCCCATGTTGAGTTTAAAACCATGAACTTATTTTATTGAAAGATTATTAAACTGGAAAAAAAATTGGCATTATTTAGAATTTTTGAATAGTGCTACCGGTATCTTTACTTTAAAAGATTTCTGGTAGATAGAAAGGGGCCTTTATCATATGAGTAGATACCAGTCGTAAAATCTAAAGGTTTAGGGTTTGGGAAAGGATGAATTATTCTCTTCAATGTAATTTTTTTTCTAAATTAAAAATAAAGCCCTCAAATGTTTTCTAGTTTCCTGGAAAATTTATATACTGTATAATAGATTTTCCCTTCTCAAAGAAATACCTACTTACAGGTGATATTAGGATATGACACAAACGAATTATAGTTGAAAAATATTTCAACCTAATCGGAGAACAGGGACTGTGAATACAGATGTCTGGTAAATTTTGATCATCTAAGAAACATTAAACTCTTTGAGCAACAGCTTATAATGTGAATTAATGAAGAACCTAAAATTTAAAAATGGAAGAAATTCCTGAGCAACACTAGAATTCAAAGCTCAAAGCACGTCTAATTGGTCCATCATTGAGTTTGCTGCTAAATATCAGGAAGCGCCGTGCACACGCGAAGGCTGCAGCTTGTACTACCTGGAGGCTGGTATTTCTTTCAGGTGGGCCTCACTGGCAGCACCTTTTTACTCCCCTATGTGTACCTGACATTTCCTTTTTTTTTCTTTTGGTGACATAAGAGAAAGAATAAGAAACTATGCCCTTGAAAGAAAAGAAAAATCCAAAAGCAAAGAGCAATGAATATTTTCATTAAATTTCCATTTAAAAAATATTCGATAGTCCCTAAAGGCTGATAGAAACACAAATGAGTATTGATTATTGTGCTGTCCACCTTTAGATGATCTTATTCTAAAGTCAAAACTGGGTAGGACCCCAGTCACTCAAGGGGGCGGCTGGTCTTTAGCGGGTTCAAAAGGCAATATCCTGGTCTTCTACCTTCCCCATCTTCAGATCCACAGTGGGGAAACTGTAGGGCGGAACACGAACAGTGCAGGGGACAGGAGGCGGGGGTTCAGTTTTTAAAGAACCACTGGGCCATCTGAAGACAAGCATAGCCTTGACATTCAGCTTTGAAACTGCCTGCTAGGGGGGTGAGGCTGGAGCAGGAGGCAATGCTGTGTGGGCTGCACCGGGTTTGCCTTTAGCCCCAGTGTGGTCCCCTAAAGAAGGGCCCCCTTTTAGAGCACATCACAGCACAGACTTCAAAAGGATAAGAAGCGACCATATTTAGGACTGACCCAAGAGCCAACGGCAAGAATCAGGAGGCCCAATTTAAAAGCAATGGTTTTAGGTGCCTGCTGCTCAGAGCTATTCTAACAGCGTCAGCTTCAGTGAGCCAGCAGATTACGCCATTCATAAACACCTGTGAGGGCTCCAGCAAAGTTATATAGGTTTCAGCTTGTGGAGTGCTGTACATTTACTGACAGTGAAAACGGCGAGCTGTTTATAGGACATTTCACGATCAGAAAAGTACTGCGTTATTTCCTGATTTGCTGGACCCTTCCCGATGATATGTTCCCCTTTTGGAACAAAGCTTTGTTTTTACAAAGACTCTTTAAAAACTGTTTTATTTCTCCCATTTGTGCATCTAGTGATATTTGGGGTGCTTTAAATAATTTGCTTCATTTTTAAATGCTCTACTGCTTTTTATAGGTGGTCTTTAAAAATTACACTCGCTCAAAATTTATTCTTAATTTTTTTCAGTTGACCAAGTGTATAAAAATATCTTAAATTTTCATTTTCTCAGAGCTATATTCTTTTGGTAACTGTGAGCAAAGACCATACAAAAGTTATTTTAACTATATTAAAATAACTATAATCAATTATACTACAATAGAGTAGAATTTTATTTTACATCTAGACTGAAAAATTATTTTTTGATGTGGATGGAGTTGAATTTTAGAAGTTGATTTTTTCTCAAAATTGTTTAAAAATCATATAATATGGCTGGCTCACATGTAAATGTCTAACTGGTTTGAAAAACAGTTTAAGAATTTCATTTGACGTTATAGATAAAGTTATTAATTTGATCTGGATAGTGAATTCTCCCTTTTTATGTTACACAGCATAGATGTTTTAAAGGCACATACACATCCCACACATGCACACAAACCACATGCATACCTCACACACATCACATATACACACCAGACATATGTACATGCACACCACACACTCACACATGACCACACAGACACCACATACACATACAACACGCACATCCCACAGCTCACAGGTAGATGACTTGTGATGACTTTGGATGGGGGCCATTTTCTTTCTTGTCAGAAAATAGGAAATGTCATATTTCTAGAAATACCCAATTATCTCAGTCATCTTTTATATTTGTGTTTAAGAAAAAGATAAGGTACAATGAAAATTTTGTCCTATAAAGAACAGATGGCTGCTCCTCTGCCTCCGCATGGTGTCTTACCTTTGAGTGTATGTCGTAGTTTTGAGGAATATGTGATCAATATCACTAAAGCAGAGTCCTAGGAACAGAAAGCCTTGACTGCAAACACGTGAACCCACTTGCAAGACTGGTTTTCCAGCCAACAGGCCTGCCCTGCAGGATGTACCAGTGCTGCTGGCCTGCAGTGCTTGGCTCAGGATAGGGGCCATTAGAGCAGACACCTGGCCTGGTGAAGGTCCTGGACTGGTGAGAGGCAGGACACTGGGCTGCAGCTTCACCGCCACCTTAGTGTGGGGCTTGAGCAGTCAGCTCACCTCTCTGGACCTGGCTGTCCCTGCCCGCAGCAAGTTGATGGCAGGGTTGTGCTAGGGTTGGGTTGGCCTCTATGGGTTGGGGGCCTGGCCGAGGTGGA